AAAAAAAAAAAAAAAAAAAAAACAAGGAAAGCACTCTGTATTTTGTTCTACACATAAAACTGAGTGAAGTACAAAAAGGAGGATTCCATCCAAAGTGTGGCATTTAAGTCCCGGAAAAAGGAATGAAAATGCCCTAAACCCCAACCCAAGATTAAGTCAGAGAGAGGACTAGACCTGAATCTGGCTTACAATAGGGACAGGGCTCTTGATCCTTTACCCCTGATGTTTCCTTAATTTTCAGAAGGTAACTCTGACAGCTGCAGCAAGAACAAAAATAAATAAATAAGACCTGATCAAGTTAAAAAGCTTCTGCACAGCTAAGGACAATATCAACAAAACAAAAAGACAAGAATAGGAGAAGATGCTAGGCATAGTTGCTCATGCCTATAATCCTAGCACTCTGGGAGGCTGAGGCAGAAGAATTTCTTGAGCCGAAGAGTTGGAGACAAGCCTGAGCAAAAGTGAGACTCCCTTTGTACTAAAAATAGCAAAATGACCCAGGCCTTATGGTGGATGCTGTATCCCCAGGTACTGGGGAGGCTGAAGCAGGAGGTTCACGCAAATCCCAGAGTTGCAGGTTTCTGTGAGCTATGATGATGCCATGCCACTCCAGCCTGAGGCTACAGAGTGAGACTTTGTCTCAAAAAAAAAGTCTTGGCTTGGCACCCATAGCACAGTAGTTGCAGCGCCAGCCACATAGATTTAACAAAAAGCTTACAAATGTTTCTTCCTTGCTCTAATTTAAGCTCTGACATTCTCATGATGGCACACAAAAACACATAACAATAGTAGTGAATGGCTCTGAGCAAGATAATGCCACATGTGACCACAAACATAACTGTGAGACACTTATGTACAAAGGTTATAAAACCTTACTGAGCTGTTTGTACAGTGCTGCCAACATAAACACATGGTGGCAAGTTTGCAGACTTAGTTGTCAGATCTCATATGAACATGGTGGAATGGAAATAATCTGTTTACTGTTAAATTAAAACAATAAGGTGCTGTTCGTGTACACATCGTTTGCCCAAAGACACATCTTGTCAGGTAATGTGACAAGCCAGTGTGAATTGAGAAGGGTGTTCCTAAGAAAAGGGGGGTATTGAGGGGTCTCCTCTTATACAAGGAGACTTCCAGATCCTTTCTCAGGCTCTTATCAGCACAGCAGAGAGAAGAAAACTAAAGTGAAAATCACTGGCCATCAGTAGAAAAGCATTTCTTTCTAACTTGCACAAGAATCTCATCTCATCTCAATTGAACCCTTGTTACATTGCTAAAATAGAAACTAATTTTTAAAAAACCATCTTGGTGGGGCTGAGCTGCAAAGATCCCTTGGGGTCAGGAGTTGGCAACCAGCCTGAGCAAGAGCAAGACCAAGAACCTGTGCCTACTACGAACAGAAAAATTAGCCAGGTATTGTGGCAGCTGCCTGTAGTCTCAATTTCAGGAGGTCAATGCAGGAGAATCTCTTGAACCCAGGAGTCTGAGGTTGCTGTGAGTTAGGCTGAAGTTGCAGCACTCTAGCCTGGGCAACAGAATGAGACTCAAGAAAAAAACCCAAAGTCATCTTAACAGGAAAACAGATATTGTCCAGAATATAGAAATGGATTTTAGATGGTATTTTTATACAAAAAGCTAAAAATATCTAATGTTCATAGTCAAAACAGAAATGAAGTGAGTCCTCTTCTAGAGACACACACAGGATCTATACACAGACATGCACACATATTAATATAAAATTCTAGAAACTGCGGATGTTGTTAAATGTGGAAGTGAGACCCAAGGTTTGCATGGGAGAAATTTAATCATTTTTCATTGTATGACTGTTTATCCTGTTATGATTTTGAAATATTTTCATAATGCAAAAATTTTTTGAAAAAGAAAAAATGGGCTTGGTGCCTGTAGCACAGTGGTTACAGTGTCATCCACATACACCAAGGCTGGCAGGTTTGAACCCAGCCCAGGCCAGCTAAACAACGACAACTGCAACAAAAAGTAGCCAGGTGTTGTGGTGGGCACCTGTAGTCCCAGCTACTTGGGAGGCTGAGGCAAGAGAATCATTTAAGGTTCAGTGCCTGTAGCTCAAG